AGTACTATAAGAATTGTTCTATATTGGAAGCTCGGCCGGGAAGCAAACCAAGCTACATGTGGAGAAGCTTGCTCAGTGCACAAGACTTTCTGTGTGCCGGCCTTCGTTGGCGAGTGGGTAATGGTTACAAAGGAAATCCACAACGGAGTGATGAATGCCCGTTCCGTGACCAAAAGGAAACCCAACACCACATGTTCCTCGAGTGCAGTTGGAGCAGCCGGATATGGAGAGGATCACCGTGGGAAAGCGCGTTTACTGTGCATGGATCGTCGGACTGCATGAAATGGGTGGCGGAGGTGATGAAGCATGAGAGCTTAGACGTGGCAGAATCGTGGGCTATGGTACTAAGGGCGATATGGAAGGAACAAAATGCACATCTATTTAACGGCCCCAAATGGCCTGAGGACGAGATTTTATAGCGTGCACTTTCAATTCTTGATGACTACAGGAAGAACCAAGTCCCCGAGGAAGCAGTCCCAGGCGACGCGCATGCGGAACGTTGGGAGAGACCGGCGGAAGGGTGGATCAAGATCAATACGGATGTCGGACTTTTGGCTAATGATGGGATAGGTCTGGGAGCAGTTTATCGAGACCATCAATGGCGCTTTCTTGTTGCGGCAACGAAGATGGTTCGTGGTTCCTTTGGAGTGGAAATGGCAGAAGCGCTGGCGGAAGATTTCAGAGTCCAATTAGCGCACTAGCTGGGTTTCCATCGCTTTCAGCTTGAAGTTGACAACTTGCGTTGGTTGAGAAAGTAGTGCAAGCTCAGGATGTGCAGACCGAGATTGGAGTCATCTGCAAGTGGATTTCTCGTCTCTACAGGAGCAGACTCCATCCCGGAAGTGTTAAACAAGTAACGCGATCGGCGAATAATTCAGCACATATCATAGCTCACAACGGGACTAGTTGGGATAACAAAGAAGTGTGGCTTGATAATCCACTTACTTTCCTTGTTGATCAACTACGGCTGGATGATGTACCATTTTCCTCCGGTTAATTGAATTACAAGTTACCCGTAAAAAAAAAAACAATCGCACAAACCCTTTTGTTTCTTTATTTCACAAGAAGTTGTTGAAAGTTGAAGCACCCTTTTGTAAAAGAAAACAAGTTGAATGACCTAGAACAGAATTCCTCTTCTTCTTTTTTTTTTTTTTGCCTCGCACAAAATTTCGGGATATTTTCCAGAAATACCACTGTTTAAAAAAAAATTCCAAAAATACCACCCAACCCCAAAAAATTCCAAAAATACCACCCTTTTTCAAAAACCGCCACCCCATCCTGCGGTTTACACGAAAACCGTTTGTCGGGGGCGTGGTTTTCTATGCAAACCGCGGGCCTAGGGGGCGGTTATAAAAAAAATGACCAAACCGCTGGGTGGGGTGGCGGTTTGACCCAAAACCGCCACCCCACCCAGCAGTTTGGTCCAATTTTTTTTCTTTTTTCGATCAACTCCTAACTTCGGCCGAAACTTCAAATGAACGTAACTTTGCACTCGGGTATCCGATCGTAGCGATTTTTTTTTCATTTCGCATAACTTTTCAAGATCTACAACTTTTACTAGGATAAAAATTTTCAAAACAGGAACTATTTGTGGATATACGGGACCTTGAGAATAACTTTACCTTTACTTTTCACAAATCCATGTACATTTTGAAATTATGATTATATTTAAAGTTGTAGATTTTGAAAAGTTATGCGGAATAAAAAAAAAAATCATAACATTCGGATTTTGGAGCACAAAGTTATGGCCGCCCAAAAGTTATGACTAAGATAGCTCTAGGTAAAATTCCCCCTTCTGCAAGCCATCCCTTTTGGGTTCACACCCTGTAGGTCTCCCTTTTGGGTTCACACCATGTAACTTAATATTATTATTAAATCAAACATTACGAAAAATTTATTTATGATCGTCTATAAAAATTAAATAAATTATGTAAAATTAAAAATTTATAAATATATAGTTTTTATAGTTATCTATCAAAAGCATGAAACGTAAGTATTCCATAATAATGACAACACTACATAAAAATTCTGAAAAAATCTTACTTGAACTATTTTGTTGAATTTTTTTTTTATTTCAACTAAATCATGACGCATTCAAGACTCCTATGGTTGCAGAAGGGGGAATTTTACCTAGAGCTATCTTAGAGGGCTCCAAAGTTATGGCCGCCCATACAGTGATTTCTTCAACCTGCAAGCCATCCCTTTTGGGTTCACACCCTGTAGGTCATAATTTTGGAGCCCACTAAGATAGCTCTAGGTAAAATTCCCCCTTCTGCAACCAGTCTTGAATGCGTCATGATTTAGTTGAAATAAAAAAAAAATCAACAAAATAGTTCAAGTAAGATTTTTTCAGAATTTTTATGTAGTGTTGTCATTATTATGGAATACTTACGTGTCATGCTTTTGATAGATAACTAAAAAAACTATATATTTATAAATTTTTAATTTTACATAATTTATTTAATTTTTATAGACGGTCATAAATAAATTTTTCGTAATGTTTGATTTAATAATAATATTAAGTTATTATTAAGTCTCACATTTGATTGAAATTTATATAAAATTAATTTATTGTGCAAAGACTTTGCATAATGCAAATTGATGATATGGTGAATATTGTAGGTAATAATAAAGAAATTTTACATGATGCATTCATAAATTATGTAATTATCATAGAATGGTATTGCATAAATCTTATGTGATGTGTGACCTAATAATAGTAATAATAAAATCAAATTGAGAAAAGTATAATATCTTATTAAACTAATACGTAAAGCTTAATTACCTCATTGAACTTTCGCGTGATGCAAATTGACGATATAGTGAACATTGTGGTTGTAAATACATAAATCTTCCCTAGCTTGAAATGTAAAATACCAATATAATTGACTGTAGGGAAAAAAGAGCTTATGGAATAAGGGGAAGGAGATGGAAAACGAAAAACTATCAAAAGAATTGAGTGTAGAAAAAGCAATCTTATGGTAAAAGTTGTAAAACCGTATAGGAGATTGTACGGAAAAAATCAACGGTATATTATTTTATGTTAAAACAATGGTTTAATCGTGGTTCAACCGTTTCATGTCATTAAAAACTGCTTACATATTTAAACTTCGGTAGGAGATTTTTCTGGTCAAACCGTCAGTACGGGATGGTTTCACAAACACAATGCATAACAAACTATGTGAACAGTAGTTGTACATATTTAAACTTTAGTTGGAAATTTTTCTGACCGGACCTTCAAAAATATAGTTTCACAAACACACCGCAAAAAAACCCTGTGTGAAGTGTGAACAGCTGGGCCGTGGATATTGGAATTGTTAAATAAATAAGCAATAGTAAAATTATGAATTTGTGTAGATTGTAAGCCAACCGAAAAAATTTGTGGGAGTACATAGCCCAACATAAATGCGATCACACGAAAACAAATCCCCAATGAATAGTATATCTGGATGTAATTAGCGAGAATTTCGTAATGAATAGTGTCGCATTCTTGAGCAATACTATATAGCACAGTAGAAGTGCTCCAAACAAATAGGTTGAACAAATTCCAACAAAATAAAGAATAGTGCCAAATACCCTAGGGGGTTGTTTGGATCCAGAAAAGTGGGCAGGGATTTGGCCCAAATTTTGGCCCGTCCAGGAATTTAATCAATTCCCACGTTTGGATAGCTCTAAAAACATCCGAGATTTGGGCCACAGGGAATTTTAAATCCGGCCCAATCGGAAATTGGAAATAGCTACCCAACCCCAAGTATTTTGAATTCCGGCTTTAATTTATTTGCTTCTTCGCAGCGTGTCCCCACTATTGTTTTGTTATTCCTATTATACCCTTAACCACAATTTTCCAGACAGAACTCTCATTCTTCATCATTCGCGAGAAACCTCTCCCCTAACCTACCGCCGTCGCGGTAGAAAAAAGTTCGCGATCCCGACCAGAGAAGGACGCTCGACGGCTATTGGCGGTGACGGAAGCGAGGGTGAGCGAGCTTCTCCAACATACACGTTTGCAGCGACAAGATACCAGGTCCGTCACCTCCTTATGGAGTCTGGTTGCGATTTCTAGGGTTTGCCGATTTTGTTGTCGAGGGGGTTAGGGAATGAATTTTTAGTATGTAGTGCCTTGTTTGATGCTTCTTGTGTACGTGGGTTCTTATCTTTAGGGTTGATGGATTTATGCGGGCGAGCTTTTCTGGGTTCTTATTAATCTTGTATGCTTCTTCTGTTTGTTTTTATTATGAATCACTGTGGGTTCTTATGATTAGTGTATGCTTCCTCTGTTTGGCTTCTTATAATATCCAAACACCCTTAGCTTTTCCCTTAGAAACCCTCTGTTTTGGTCATCTAAGAGAAGAGAAGAGAGATCCTTCCTTCCTTCCTTCCTTCCTTCCTAGCTCGGTCTCGATCATCTATGGTTTAGTAAATGGTAATGCACTTGAAAATATATAGAGTGCTGCACTGCAGTATCCAACAGAGTTTTGAGTTAGATTACAACCTGACCAAATTAATGCCCAAAATCCGGGCCAGGTTTCCCTCCACGATATCATTTGTGAACTATTACTAGCTCTCTAAAACTTACTGCTTGCTTGCTAATCAATCATTGATACACAAACTAATTGACTACTTGACTTTCCCTCTACTGCTACTGCATGGCTCGATGACTATAATTAATTAGCTTAGCTGCAGTTTACTGCATCGTGGTGGACAATCTGCATTTTATTTCACCCTTTTTGTTCAATCTAATTCATTCACTATAATGATTAAGTTCTTCTGTACCAGTAGTTAAGTGGCAGCCTCCAGTCCATTATTCTGCTACTGCATGACTCAAGGTAACAGTTTAGGTCTAGTTCTGCATACGAGAAGGCTTAGGTCTAGTTCTCTCACCTATGTGCTTGAATTGATATCGGAATTCAAACTCCCTTCTAGTGGGATGTCACATCATCTGCTATCTGTTGCTTTTGGTGTTTCCTGCTACTATGGTTGTTTCAGTTTATTCTATCAGGATGGGGAGAAAGAGGCATGCTGGTGGAGACAAGGATGGAGCAACCTCCAAAAAGTACTCATTTTGGCCTGAGAAGCTTGACAAGCCTTTGGTTGAATGCATTTTGGAGCTGGTGGAGAAGGGGCTCATTGTGGATGGCAATTCCAAAAATAGCGGATATGCAGCACTCGAAAAGATGTTGGAACAGAAGGTACCAGGCTGTGGTGTTAGGGGAAGACCCCATATTGAAGGACGGATTAAGAAGTTGAAGAAAAACTGGCAGGCTATCACATTCATGAGGAATCAAAGTGGATGGGGGTGGGATGAGGCAAACAAGTGTGTCAATGCCTTGATGGGAAATGGAATGATTTTGAACAAGTACGTATGCATATATTTATGGTGTGTTGTCTTTTGTAGCATTATACTAGGCTGCTTATATGTTGTACAGTCCTCCAAGTATGTATGCATGTATTTATGGTGTGCTGTCTTTTGTAGATGTATCCGACTTGTCGAGGTCTGAACAAGAAGCCATTCCCTGTGTATGATGACTTGACTCCAGTATTTGCCAAAGGACAGTAGGAGAGAAGAAGAAGAAGAAGAAGAAGAAGAAGAAGAAGAGTGCACAACGAGGCTGCTTGGATGAAATGTATACTGGATGTTGTTTGAGAACTCGGACAAGTTTTTTTGTTTTATTAATGCTAGTTTACTTATGCTGGATGTTGTCGGTTTACGTATGTTGAACAAAGAACTAGAACAAGGCTGTTGTGTTTTGGGATTTTGCAGGAAGTTTTGAATGCCGGTTTACTTATGTTGAACAAGAACTCTTACAAGTCTGTGGGAAGTTATGTATGCAAGGTTATGTATCTTGAAGTTATGTATGCAGAATATGTTAATCCCAGAATTGAGTATGTTACATGGTTACATATGTTGTTTTTTTTATCAGTTTAAACCCATAATTGAGTATGTTGCAGGGTTATGATTCTGTTAAATATGTTAAGGGCATATGTCATGTTTGGTAGTAAAACAAAGGCTGCAACTGGTAAAACCCATATCAGAATGGTCTTGCAGTGACCACCTTCTGCTCTGAGTCGTGGGGAAAAGCTATTTTGGAAGACTGCAACGACGGAAGGAGTGGGGGTATAAAGGTACTTTTACAATTGTTTTCATAATTAAATTTCCTGCCTAATAAATCTCTCATTCCTAAACAAACAATATATTTAACCCAAATTCTGGGTTTAAAATACCAGATTTTTAATTGAGTGATTGTGGACCAAATCTCTAATTAATTAAATTCTCAATCCAAACGACCCCTAGTTGAAATCTCTCGACCAAAGTACCATTTAATCTTTTTTCTTCAATTACATTTTAGTCTATGTCTTCAACCATCTTGCTAATATAAACGTTGGACTCCTAATTATCCTTTATCTTTTGCCTTTTCCTTGCACACTTTATCCACATGAGAGAAAATTGCCAAATGGAGTTTGAAACAAAACCCATCAACTTGACAGAAACACACTTTAAAGATGCGTTTTGGATATGAGGAGTGCTTGGATTTGTATGTGATATGAAATTCTAAATATGAAATTATTTGTTTGAATATTAAATAGATATGGTAGTTGGATTTGTTTATGGGTGAATTTTAAATAGATATTTAGTAAACATGTGTGAATTTCAAATACATACTAATATATATTGATTCAAAATTTCTCATAGAATCATATATGATTTGTTTATAAAATAATTTAAAATGTTTAGGTATTATAATGCAAGGAAAAAATATATAGATACTTAAATGTATTTTGACACCTTAGATACTAAAATATCATTAACAAAAAATGGAACGTCTTACCAAAAAATGCCCAAATAAAAGAATATAATCAATTTTAATATTTCTAAAAATTGTAAACGAATATTTAAACAATAGTTTGAATAACATATTTTTTTAATACAAACATTGTAAATTCATATATTTGAAATACAAATATTCAACCGCATTCTATAACAATTGAATTACTTGACAATCATGTCAAGAGTAAAATTCGAAGAACATTTGTAAACAAGATTGATGATAAAAAAAAAAGGGACATGTCGTGTCGTTGTTTGTGAGTATCCATCTTTTGTAATTAGGCATGTAACATTTAGGAAAAAATCCAAAACTACCACTGTTAAAAAAAAATTACAAAAATACCACCCACTCCAGAAAATTTCCAAAAATACCATCCTTTTTTAAAACCGCGCCTCTAAGGAGCGGTTTTAGTAAAACCGCGCCTCGGGGAAGCGTTTTACATAATAACCGCGCCTCGGGAAAGCGTTTTTAATTTCCATAACAAAACGCTTCTGGAAGGCGCGATTATAGGCTTACTCTACCACAAAACGCTTCAGGAAGAAGCGTTTAAGTGTCGGCATTACAAACCGCCTCCCCAAGCAGCGGTTTATAGTGTCAGGACACAAACCGCCTCCCCAAGCGGCGGTTTTTAGTGTCAGGACACAAACCGCTGCCCCAAGGCGCGGTTTGTGCCTGGTCACCCGACAGCAAACATGTCGGATATGTCGGCATGCAGGAGGTAGGGCTGGTAGGGCTGCATGGCAGACCTAAAACCGCTCCCCCCCCCCAGCGGTTTTGGTGCAAAATTTGCCTATAAAAGGCAGTTTCAGAGAACTCAATTCTTCACACCTCCTCCTCTTCCTTCTTAAAATTTCAGCTTTAAGTTATTTAGTTTTTGCGATTAACGTTTATTCGTAAGTTTGTTTCGTAATTACTTTTCATTGTCCTTTGTGATTTTATGTTAGTAACTTAATTACTTTCCATTGTCATTTGTGATTTTATGTTAGTAACTTAATTACTTTTCATTGTCATTTGTGATTTTATGTTAGTAACTTAATTACTTTTCATTGTCCTTTGTGATTTTATGTTAGTAACTTAATTACTTTTCATTGTCATTTGTGATTTTATGTTAGTAACTTAATTACTTTTCATTGTCCTTTGTGAATTTATGTTAGTAACTTAATTACATTTCATTGTCCTTTGTGATTTTATGTTAGTAACTTAATTACTTTTCATTGTCCTTTGTGATTTTATGTTAGTAACTTAATTACTTTTCATTGTCATTTGTGATTTTATGTTAGTAACTTAATTACTTTTCATTGTCCTTTGTGAATTTATGTTAGTAACTTAATTACATTTCATTGTCCTTTGTGATTTTATGTTAGTAACTTAATTACTTTTCATTGTCCTTTGTGATTTTATGTTAGTAACTTAATTACTTTTCATTGTCCTTTGTGATTTTATGTTAGTAACTTTATTACTTTCCATTGTCATTTGTGATTTTATGTTAGTAACTTTATTACTTTTCATTGCAGATGGCATTCCAAAGGTTCACGCTTGGGTTGCGGTGGAATGGTTACACGGAAGAGACCAAAAAGGGTGTAAGTTACGTCGGTGGCAATTTTTATAAAATGAAGGTCCGTACGAGACCGATGCTTGAAGAGCTCCATCAAATGTGCACCCAGATTACCTGCATGGATGGCACTAGAAGAGTTGATCGAATGATGTATCGATATCCAAACAGACATGACGGGTCGCTGTGGAATGAGGAATTCCTCCTTACCACTCAGGAGGACGTTGATGCCATGGTCCAATTTTTGACCACCAATAAAATTAAGCAAGCGGAGATGTTCGTTTACACCGAGGTCGTCGATGGCAGTGTAGGTCATTCTGGAGATGGCCAAACATCTGGTATCCACGGAGGGAGTGTATTATACGAAGATCATCCCCACCAGGATATCCAAGAGTCGAGCTGGAGGCAGGAGTATCATCATGGTACTGGAGGAAGTCATCAATCCTTCCCTTCGTATGAAGAAGAAGCTCAACAGGCGGATTACAACCAACAAGCAGGCTACCAGTACCCACCCGACTACAACTTCTATCAAAGCGGTGTTAGTTACCACAACTACCATTACGGAGCTAGTGAAGGTGAAGGTGCCTTTAATGCTGATAGTCAGATGGAAGAAGAGGTCAATCCAAGTCCAGTTAGTGACCATGAGGTTGAAGAAGAGGAAGGCGAAGTTAGTGCAGACAGCAACGATCCGCTGGAAGGTGCTGATGATTCCGGTCCAGATTCAGACGCAGATGGTGATGAGGTAGCTCACGACCGTGTACCTATTCCATACTACAATCAAATTCAAAATGAAGATTGGTATGTTGATGCCGACATGGACCCTCCAGATGTGCCAGTATGGGGTCCACTAACTGGCTTTACGAAGGGCCAACAATTTGCAACGAAGAATGAGGTCCGACACGCTATTTCCACTGAAGCAATGACTCGGAGTTTTGAATGGCAAACAACCCATTCCGACACAAAGAGGCTGATGGTTCGATGCAAAAATGAAAATGAGGGATGCAAAGCTAGGGTCCGGGCCATCAAGAGCAAGAGAGTCGGCCATTGGGTCATATCCCGTGCGGTGAACACACACATGTGTGTCATCAATAACATCCCAAGGCCATCGACAGTTGAAATCAAGGGTGGTTGCCGCGGCTATCAAACATCTAATTGAGGAGCAGCCCGACCTGAAGGTCAAAACCATTATCGCCCACATTTCTAGTCGTTATGGTTATATCATTAACTACAAGAAAGCATGGCATGGGAAACAGAAAGCAATGGCTGCCGTGTTTGGTGACTGGGAAGAATCATATGCATTCCTTCCCAAATTGATTTTGGCGTTGGAGGTGTCTAACCCTGACACCATTTTCTCGCCTCGCTACCAAGATGAAGAAATTCAATCGCCGGCGCCTGGTAACAATCGCCAATTCAAGCGTCTTTTCTGGGCCTTCAAGCCATGTATTGATGGTTTTCCATACTGTGTTCCTGTGATTCAAGTTGATGGAACATTCCTTACCGACAAGTACAAGGGTACTCTACTGATTGCCAGCGGAGCAGATGCAAATAGATTAGTATATCCATTAGCCTTTGCCATTGTGGAGAGAGAGAATACCGATAGCTATGGCTGGTTCTTCAGACAAATTCAGCTCCATGTCACTAGGCGGACGAACCTGACTATCATCTCAGATCGCCACGCCGGAATACGGGCTGCTATCTTAGGCTTGGATCCAGCCTGGAACTGGTCACAGAGATGGTGCATACGACATTTCAAGAGCAACTGGAACCATCATTTCAAGCGAAAGAAGCTTGCTGACAGTATATGGTGGATCGGTAAGCGTTCTAATTAATTGTGTCTCTGTACATTTTTTCAACTGTATAAAGTATGGAATGTTTCAATACAATACAACACTTATATAGACTCTTTATAAAGAAATGCATGTCTAAGGAAATGGGGACTTAAGCGATCATCATGATCCCCCCATGACCTGGGAAAATCGGGTTTTAAGCGATCCTCGGATCCCCCCTTTTTCTGTCAAAAAGACTGTGTTTCTAAGGAGATGTATACCTCTCCTAAGAGTCTTACGAGTGTACTTGTATTGGCAATAAGGTCGATCTTGCTTATCTGATTTTTTTTATATTC